AGTTTATTCTTTATTTATCTTTCTCTCATTTTTTTCTTTATTATCTTAATAATCATAATTTTAATATATTAAGATAAAATAATCAAAAAAATTAATCGTTTTGGACAAATTTGTCTTTTTATATTATTTTTTGTTGTTATTTTATTATATATACAATTTAATTGATACATATAGATATATATAAGATTATTATATAATCGTTATATAATTAATAGCCATGTATTATTTCCATATCATTAACTGCTTCATGGCAAAAACACATTCAGCTTGTGAGCACATTCAGTTGCATGATATAATGCAGTGTTCTCTTTATTTTTTACAGACATTGAAGTAATAATGATAGCTGCAGATAATGTACAGAAAATTTAAAGATACACTGAGAAAAAAGTGCTGTTGAATCAACAGCATTAGTCTAGTTGGAAATAATTTTATTAATTCAATGACATTATTAATGAAACGAAGATCTCAATTATTAAAACAAGAGCATAATATACTGTTTCATTAATAATGTCATTGAATTAATAAAATTATTTCCAATTAAATTATGCTGTTGATTTAACAGCATTTTTTCTCAGTGCAAATTTCGTGAAATTTCTCATCATAACTAAACGATAATATAAGTAATCGAATCAGCGTACTAAAATCTCCATTATTAACTAACCGCATTTTGCATAACATTGCCGTGCCAGGTCAATGACTTCGGCGATATCTATTTGAACACCAAAAAACGAAGATATTCTCTTTCTTCTGCAAAACAGAACACCTGTAAATTACTTGCTCTATAATTTTATTGCTTATAATCTTTCGCTTATAATTATAATCTTTAATTATAATTATAAAATTAATTAATTTTTGTATTCCGCATTGTTTTAAACATCTACGAGGAAGTGAAAGATGATTTATTGACTATTATGATCGTCGTGAATAATTTAATAATTATACCAAAAAGAACGAATACAGATCGGAGTCCTTAACATCGTAGTTCATTTGTTGCGTTAGAAACTCAGAAGTAAGTAAACTGGTTCACTGTCACGCGACTATCACAGAGAGAAAGGAATATCTCCCTACAACCACGAGAACCAGATTCATGGCTACCAAGAACACGAAAGAAGAACACAAGAAGAGAATATGAGAAAAAAACGTGCAAGCCGGACCAGTTCGTGCACTTCACATATATATCTGGAAATTGTAAAACAAAAATACTAAAAAAAAAAAAAAGATTACAGGAAGGAGAAAATAAAAATGAGAATGTAATAATAAGAGTTTATTAGCTTTATATTGTGTTATTAATATACAATTATTATTATTAATATACAAAAGCGTATGATTAAAAATTGAAATAATAATGTTGAAAATTATAATGTTGAATATTATTAAAAAGAACAAAGGCGAAATGAGAGAATTAAAACTGATTTATTTTTGGCTTGTGATAGAGAAAGAACGATAGAGAAGAACTCGATCTGAAAATAACGGAGAAACAAACAGCAATCATATTTGCGATCATTAGTTACCGTATATTCTCTG